GACAGGGCTGTTCACTGATACGGGCAGAGAGAAACAGGGACGCAGCAGTCACCAGAGAGGGAATCTGGGCATATAAGAGAGGCAGATTCAGGAGCTCCATCTCAAAGCAAGCCCACCTGGATGCCTCTCAGGTCTCCGTCACTCGCCTTCCAGATGCAACTGGCCTCCTAGTAGCAGGGTTACCGCCCTCGGAGGGGTGCCCCCTCCAGCCACGATCCTTCTGACACCCAGATCTCCCCGTCCTCTTCCTGTCCTCCAGACAGTGGGGGGATGATCCTCCCCAGCAGTCACGGGGGAACGTGGGAACGGTGGCTCCCAACCTTCCGGGAAACACCAGGAGCCCCCACGCTGGGAGCCGGGCTGCGCCAAAAGTTGAGGCTGCGGGGCAGGAGGGGGGCTCGGAGGAAGGATTTGAAGAGGATCGGAGAGCCGTTCGCCGAAGCCGCAACCGAGGAGGAGGAGAAGCAGAGGCGCAGCGGTTCCCACGGAGCAGAAAACCTCGCAAGGAAAGGCGGAGGGGGTGCAACTGGGGGAAACCCATTTCGCTCTCCCTCCCTCCCTCCCGGAATCCCTCCTCCCTTCCCGCACCTGGGGCTCCCCCCCTCCTCTCCTCCCCCTCTCGCAGCGATCTTGCTGCTGCCTTTTGCACGCCCCTCCCAGCGCTGGGATCTCCGCAGCCCTGGCTCAAGCGACGCCTGGAGAACAGGAAAAGGACGTGGGAGCGGCCGGAAACTCGGCTCCCAGCCCCCTTTTCCCGTTTCCTGCCTCCTCTCTAGGCGGAGAAGAAAAGCTGTCTGCGTTTAACCCCTTCGCTGAAGCCGCCGAGCAATGCCAAAGTCCTGCATCCGGGCCTTCGCCGTTCTTCGCCCGGCTTTAGGCGCTGCAATTGTGTAGCCTTGTGCAATATATCAAGATGTGTCTGATAGCACCTTTTCTAACTAACAGATTACATTAAAATGCACAAGACTCTTAAGCCTGCAATAGAGCTACTCACTTTTCACTCAGACGGTTTGAGGCTTCCATAGACTCACACGGCTCTCCTCCCAACAATATGGAGAAGACAAAACGGAATTAGGCACAGGAGCCATCGGACGCCTTAACAAGGGCAATAATTGAGGGGATTTGGTGTAGCCTTCTTTCCTAACTGCTGCTATCTGCGTTTGCAGTATTTCAGAGATTTCAAATGGAGAGGGATCCTGACGGTCAAGGGGAGGCCACAAGGCACAGTGTTTCCTTCCTGTTTGAGTGGCAGCGACATATTTAACTGTTTAGTGCCGAGGGAGGTTTCAAGCAGCTGTTAACGCATTTTCATCTCTGTACCTCTTGACAGCTCTATTTGGTTGCTAATTGACTCTGCATTGAAGCTCCCTACTGTTTATAGTTTGCAGGCTCACAAAGATAAGCTTTGGGAGAAGCGCCCTGCCCTCAGGATTTCTGTTGACAGCTTGCTGGTTAATTTGGAACTCCACAGTTGCAAAACATGGCTTTAAAGGAAAAATAAGAACAAGAGGAAAAAATGGAATGGCTCCTTTACAAATGTAGTAGGGAGGGAGGGTCGGCCTGCTGCATGGTGTGAGAGGGAGAAGAGAGAAAAGGAAAGGGAGACAGGGAGACCAGCGGAGAAGGAAGCAAAGCAAGCAGAGACCTGAGGGAGAGAGAAGGGGAGGAAAACAGGTGAATGAAGATGATCCAGAGCAGTGTTTCTCAACCTTGACCATTTTAAGGCAATGCTGGCTGTGGAATTCTGGGAGTTGAAGTCCACATGCCTTAAAATGGTCAAGATTGAGAAACACAGATCCAGAGAGAGAAACCGAGTCCAGATGATCCAAGGAGAGGGAGAGGGAAGCTGATCTAGGTGAGTGAGTGAGCAGCTCCCGCCTGAAGGGAGCACCAGACACACCAGGAAAAAAAAGGAAGGCGAGCAGCTCCACAAAGGGACAGGGGAGATGAACTGACCTGGGCAAGTGGAGGCACCCGGGCGAGTGAGTAGAACAGGCTGGCGGCCAGGACGAAGCACAGAGCGAGAGGCTCTGAGAATTTAGGCCTGTGACTGAGGGCAGGAAGACACCAAATTGCCAAGGAGAAAGGGACAAATGGATCCGGACTCTTGCGCCCTTTCAGGGGTAGCGCTTCACAAAGAAATCCAAAAAGACCCATCGAAGAAGCAATCTTCCTAGCTGACATCCAACAATATAGGAAGATGCATTCACTTAACAACTTGTGGTTTGGTTTAACAATCACAGTAAAAGCTGTCATAAAATAGGGACCAGTCAAGGCGTGACTCACTCAATAAATGCATTGCTTAGGGCATTGATGGCGAACCTTTTAGAGACCGAGTGCCCAAACTGCAACCAAAACCCACTTATGTATCATCAGATGCCAGGTAGGTGTGGCCCATTGGGTGGGCATGGCTGCAGTGGTAATGGTAGACTGAGTGGGACTAAAAAATTCAATTAATCAATTCCAACTTTGCGAGATCTTTTTTTTCCTCGTGAGAAGTTGAAATTGATTGATTGAAACTTTTTTTTTTTTTTGCACATGGCGGCGGAGGCCTAAAGTGAAAAGGTTTTATAAAACCCAGCTGAAGGCCTAGGATTGGGGAGACGGCGCGTGTGCCCACGGAGAGGTTCTGCGTGCCATCTGTGGCACGCATGCCATAGTTTCGCCATCACGGTCTTAGGGACTGAAATTCCAGTCCCTAAACTTGCTGCCCTAAATATGCACTCCCAAAATGGCAAACTCACAAAATAAATCCTGAAGGAAAGAATTAAGGGAGAGTGAAAAAGAAACTTTTTGTGGCAAGATAATGTACAGAGGAACCAAGGAATGTTGCGTGTCTGTTAAGTGAAAACCAAAAGTAAAAATATCCCAAGTGATATGGCCGGTTGATGGCGGCTAACCTTCTTAGAGGGACACTGTACAGCACTACTCTGGATGCAGACCCAATATGCTGTGGATGTGATGATGATCTAACTAGAGTTAAAAGAGGCCAGTTCCAGCTTTTGACCCCAAGCTCTATTCCATGGAGGAATCTGAACTTTTAAAAACCCAACATATATTTTATGTATTCTCTTTTCCTTCAGGAAAAATTCAAGAGGGCATACAAAACATTCCTATCTTTGGTATATAGGTAGTCCTCAACTTACAACCATTCAGTGACCAAAGTTACAACAGCACTGAAAAAAAGTGACTATGACAGTGTTTCACACTGTTGCAGCATCTTCAGGGTCATGTGATCAAAATTTGGATGCTAGGCAACTGGTTGATGTTTATGATGCCTGCGGTGTCCTGGGATCATGTGGATCCCCTTTTTGTGACTTCCTGACAAGGAAAGTCAATGGGGAAGCCAGATTCACTTAAGAACTGTATTCTTAAGAATTACAGTGATTCACTTAATAACCAGGGCAAGAATGGTGGTAAAATGGGGCAAAACCCACTTAACATCTGTCTCGCCTAGCAACAGAAATTTTGGGCTTAATTGTGGTCGTAAGTTGAGAATTACCAGTAATATATTTTTAAAATCTGCAACAGCTTACTGTAGTCTCCCAGAAATGTTGTTCCCATATTTCCCGTGCTGGGGATGATCAGCTCCCTAGGGGTCTGGAGAGGAGAAAGGGGAAATCTGAGCTCAGAGGAAACGGGGAAGGAAGCTGGAGGGGCTCCCCTCCGAGGGCGTGAACAGTGTTAAGAAGAGGTCAGTGGCCTCTGAAGGCGGATGACAGGGACCTGAGAGGCCAAGGTTTGGCCAAGATGCAGCCCTGTCCAGCTAGGCTCGCTTTGAGATGCAGCCCCCGGATCTGCCTCTCTTACACGCCCAGATTCCCTTTCGGGTGACTGATGCATCCCTCTTTATCTCTGCCCCACCAACTGAACAGCACCACCCATGGAGCTTTTCAATTTTAGTTTTACGGGTTGTATAACCTACATTGAAAAAAGCAGCTCTCCATTGTTTTTTACAAACAGCTTTACGAAAGAGATCAAGGGGGTTCGGTGAGATTTTTTTAGAAAGATTAAAAAGTGACCATGCAGGCCTTGGGGCTTTAATAACTGCCTGCAGAGCACTTTACGGAAGAGAGACTGGTGTGCACAATGTCCAGGCTGCTTGGGCTGCAAAGAGGCTTCAATTGTTGCAATAAAATGCTGCATGGAGCCATTGTGTAAGCCAGTCCTGCTTTCTCTAGCTCAGACATGTCAAACACAAGGCCCATGGGCTGAATCTCGCCTGCGAGTGGCCCAAGATGGCAAGAGACCGCCCCCCCTCCCCCTACACAGGACAGCCAGGCATTCCCCCCCCCCCCGGCGTGCACACAGGAGGCGGCAAGCTTGTGGGGGGGCGGTGCATTCAGTGGCTCTGCAACCTGCTGCCACCGGGTCAGCCCTCCAAACAGCAGGCACACCAGCAGCAGAGGGCCGGCCCGGTGATGGCAGTGGGCTGTGGAGCCACTGGGTGCGTCAGTAGAGGGGCTGGCAGGGTGTGGTTGCTGCCAGACACCGTCACCCCCCAGCGCACTCGCCGCCTCCTGTGCACGGGGGCCAATGGCTCACCTTGCTCCACGACAGTGGCACCCCTGCCCCAACCCCTGCCTCTCATCTCAACCGATGGGACGAGTCTCCCGCCCACCACCCCACCCACCAGAGGCCCCTGGATTCCCAACCCCACTGGCCCCACAGGCGCCCCCTGACATGAACTACGTCAAGCTGGCCGCGCCCACCCAGTCGGCTGTGACCACCCCCACCCAGTCAGCTGCGAACACCCCAGCCCCCAAGGGCAACCAGAATGCTGATGGGGCCCTCAATGAAACTGAGCTTGACACCCCTGCTCTAGCTATTCCATTGCAATCTTCCCTTTCCAATTTTCAGTTTCCTCCCAATTTCATCTCTGTATTAGGCACGGGATTTCTCTGTGTCTCTCCACCTTCACTTTTGTAGCTTTCACTTTCTGTACAGATTACCAAAAATATTTTAACATAATGTAAATCTCGGGGCACTTCAGAACCTATTTACTTCAGCGTGGCGCAGGGATGATGGTATTTTAACTGGGCTTTTTTAAAAGGAGAGGTGGGCAGGAAGGGGTCCATTTTCCCCAGGCGCTTTGAAAGGATAAACCAGTGTTTGGATCAATCATTTTAATGCAAAACTGCTCAGTAAGTTCAATGCCAAGGGCATTCCCTACAAATGTTCCCACAGATTGAAGTACTGAATTAAAAATAACAAAAAAAAAAAGTTCCTTGGCATAGGATACAGGAAAAAGAAAGTATGAACATTCAGATGAATATTTCGCCCTCATAACTCTGCAGTTTTAAAAAGGACCTTGACTTTGACCTGGCTCAACAGCAGTAACTGGGAGAGGGATCTACCAGTCCTAACGGACAACCACTGAAGTATAAGCTAACAATGTGCTGCAGTTGCAGAAAAAGCCAGTGTGGTCCAAGTCTGCATCGACAGTGGGATAGTATCAACATCACATGAAGTGTCAGTACTGCATTATATTGTAATGGTAAGACTACACTTGGAATGCTGCATCCACATTTGGTCACCATGATACAGAAAAGATGTTGAGACTCTAGAAAAAGTTCAGAGAAGAGCAACAAAGGTAATTAGGGGACTGGAGGCTAAAACATACAATAAAGAGTTGCAGGAACTGGATATGTCTAATCTACCACAGAAAAGGGTGACTAGCAGTCTTTCAATATTTGAAGGACATAGAAAAGAGGGCGTCAATCTATTCTCCAAAGCACCTGAGAGATGGACACTAAGTAACAGAGGGAGACTTATCAAAAAGAGATCCAATCTATAATTAAGGAGAAATTTCCTGTCAGTGAGAACCATTACTCAGCGGAACGGCTTGCTTCCAGAAGTTGTGGGTGCTCCACCAGTGGAGTTTTTTAAGAGGAGATGGGACAGCCATTTGCCTGGAATAGCTTAAGGCCTTCAGGGAGCCAGTGGGAGTGGGAAAATGCCTTTGGGGACTCTGTGGGGGGGAAACCTTGAGAATCCTACGGGGGAGGGAAAAACCTGGTGGGGGTCTTTTGGGGAGGAAAAGGCTTGGGGTGACCAAGGGTTGGGAATCAGAGCACTGGGTGTCTCCGAGGGTAAGGCAGGCCTGAGGAGGCAAGCCTGGGCCTATGCTAGGCCGCAAAGAGCTTCCCACAATCCTGAGGTAGCCAGTGTTCCGCTTAGCGATTTGCACATTTGTCTTAACGGCGGTATCACAGAGATCAGGGAGTGGGATAGTTAACCAAAACATTCTTGCTTTAAGAGCCATTGCAAAATGCAACCATAATTGGCTGCTCCCGTTACAGTCTAGGGCTTCTTGTATGCTGGCTGAGGAACTGTGAGACTCAGAATCTGGAGGACACCCAAAAAGAAGGCTGAAACTCGAGATGTGGAAATTCCATAATCAATATACAAAAAACACCACAAAAAAACCCCTTTATGAGGAATTCCACAACTTCGGCAAAAGGAAACACACAGTATCTTTTGCTGAAAAGAGAAACAGGAGTTCGCCTTTATGAAAGTAGCATTTTTCATTTTTTTTTTCTCTCCACCTATCTATCTATTCCTGATAGATGTTTGAGTAAGAAGAATCAGGTCAGAATTCAAATAGTCAATTTCTCAACTACATTTCCAATCGGAAATCAGAAATGAAATTCAAGCTTTTTCTAAACTGGCCAACCTTTGCCTCACATGGATTTCCTTGTGTGCGATAAAGGACGATTTATGCCTGAAGTACCGTCCACAGACTGGACATCTGAAAGGTTTCTCGCCAGTGTGTAAACCAACATGACTTAGAAGACTAGACCTACTACTGAAATCTTTTCCACAGTCTGGACATTCATACGGTTTCTCGCCTGTGTGAGTCCTCTGGTGAATCACAAGGCTGGAATTCTGACTGAAATGTTTTCCACAATCAGAACATTCAAAGGGTTTCTCTCCTGTGTGAATCCTCTGGTGTCTCACCAGGTTGGAATTCTGACTGAAACCTTTGCCACAATTAGGACATTCAAAGGGTTTCTCTCCTGTGTGAGTCCTCTGGTGTATCGCCAGGTCAGAACAGTGACTGAAACTTTTTGCACAATCCGGACACTCATAGGGTTTCTCTCCTGTGTGAGTCCTCTGGTGTTTCACTAGGTTGAAATTCAGACTGAAAGTTTTCCCACAATCATGACATTCAAAGGGTTTTTCTCCTGTGTGAGTCCTCTGGTGTTTCACCAAGTTGGAATTCTGACTGAAACTCTTCCCACAATCAGAACATTCAAAAGGTTTCTCTCCTGTATGTGTCCTCTGGTGTTTCACCAGATCAGAACTGTAACTGAAACATTTCGCACACTCTGCACACTCATATGGTTTTTCTCCTGTGTGAGTTCTCTGATGTTTCATCAAATCAGAACGGTAACTGAAAGTTTTCCTACATTCTGGACATTCATATGGTTTTTCTCCTCGATGAATCCTCTCGTGTATCACCAGGTCAGAACTGAGAGTGAAACTTTTTCCACAATCTGAACATTCATATGGTTTCTCTCTTGTGTGAATTCTCTGGTGTTTTACCAAGTTTGAGTTTTTACTGAAACATTTACCACAATCAAGGCATTCGTATGGTTTCTCTCCTGTGTGAGTCCTCTGGTGAATCACCAAATGGGAATTCTGACTGAAACTTTTCCCACAATCAGGACATTCAAAGGGTTTCTCTCCTGTGTGAGTCCTCTGGTGTATCACCAGGTTGGAATTCAAACTGAAACTTTTTCCACAATCAGGACATTCAAATGGTTTTTCTCCTGTGTGAGTCCTCTGGTGTTTCACCAGGCTGGAATTCTGACTGAACCTTTTCCCACAATCAGCACATTCAAAGGGTTTCTCTCCTGTGTGAGTCCTTTGGTGTATCACCAAATGGGAATTTGCAATGAAACCTTTCCCACAATCAGGACACACATATGATTTCTTTCCTGTGTGCGTCCTGTGGTGTATCACCAGGTGGGAATTCTGATCAAAACTTTTACTACAACCAGGGTATTCAAATGGTTTCTCTCCTGTGTGAGTCCTCTGGTGTTTCACCAGACTTGAATTCTGCCTGAAACGTTTCCCACAATCAGCACATTCAAAAGGTTTCTCTCCTGTGTGAGTCCTTTGGTGTATCACCAAGTGGGAATTTGCAATAAAACTTTTCCCACAGTCAGGACACACATATAATTTCTTTCCTGTCTGTGTCCTGTGGTGTATCACCAGGTGGGAATTCTGATCAAAACCTTTACTACAACCAGGGTATTCAAAAGGTTTCTCTCCTATGTGAGTTCTCTGGTGTTTCACCAGGCTGGAATTGTGACTGAAACTTTCCCCACAATCAGCACATTGAAAGGGTTTCTCTCCTGTGTGAGTCGTTTGGTGTATCACCAGATGGGAATTTGCCGTAAAACTTTTCCCACCATCAGGACAGTCATACATTTCCTCCCTGGTGTGACTCCTCTGATGTATCACCAAGTTGTCATTTTCGCTAAAGCATTTACCACATTGGGAGCACTTGTAGGGCAACTCTCCTGTGTGGGTCCTTCCAGAATCCACAAGGGAGCTGTTCTGAAGAAAGATTTTGCCATATTCAGATAATTTGTATGGCTTTTCTCCAGTGTGGATCCTGTTGTCCACAATCAGCTGTGGTTTGGAATCTGTTCTTTTCCCACAGTAGATAGGTCTGTGGAACTTTTTTACCACTGATATTCTTGAAGAGGTCAAACATATCTGTGATTCTTGTTGGGTGGAGCTTTGATTCAAGCTATTGTTTTCTTCCTCACAGGCTGAAGCCTCCATTATTATCTGCTCTATGTGTCCTTTTTCTCCCCACTGACTTCCAGATATTTTCCTCTTCTGAATACTCTACTTATTTCAGCTTGAAATCTCTCTCGATTTTCTCTCTTTTGTCTATCACCTCCTGAGGAAGGAGAAAAATTGTGGTTTTTTTCTGACGGAAATAGAAACTATCTTGATTTCTGGATTGATTTGCTTTCCTTCTCAAAGTTGCTTGCTATTCTCAGTTGTCCGGAGTACTCTTATCGGCACCCTCTTTGTCTGTAAGATACAAATAAAAATGTAACTTTAATTGTTTATAAAATACTTGCAGAATGTATGAAAAAAAAATAAAAGTACATATTACAAGTAAATAGCAAACAGGCCACAATGCCAAAACAACTTCTTACATTAATTATGTGTAAGGACCCACCCCACTTTGCATCTTAAGAAAACAGAACTCTTGGAATATTTCTTCCAACAGGCATCCTTTACTAAGAGAAAATGGTTGCAGGCGTTCTAGACAGGACCTGGGGCCCAAGCCCTATGGTTCAAAGTTTTAAGGGGTTCCCAGCAGCCCCACCCCACCCCATCATCCTTCCAGTGACAATCCCAGGCGTTACATTTCCCCCCCCCTTTTCCTCACTGCCGGAAGGGAAACTTCAGAGGGGAGTAGATGAAAGCTGATGGCCCCATTGTTATGTGTAGTCCTTTTGGTGGTAACCACATTCAGTCCCTTTTGAAGTTGTACCGAAGGAAGTGAGGGCCATAAAACCGCTTTGTTCACCCCCCTTCTCCTTCATCGTATGACAGAATCCAGAGAGGGCAGAAATGGGGTTTTCCATTGTCGATAACTAGAGATGAAATATAATTGGATTCTGACAATTATGATTGATTTGACCTATTGTTGATTAACGAGATCCAAGTTCAAATATCCATTCAATCATGAAATACACTTACTGACTTATTGATCAATCACAAATTCTTGGCCCTGCAGTTACTGGGTAGAATCTCTGTAATTAAGATCAATGTTTTACCAAAGATGATTTTTCTGTTTCAGACTTTTAACTGATACTCCATTTAAACAATGGCAGATAGACATCTGTAAGTTTATATCGCAAGGGAAAAAAGCCAAGAATTAAATATAAAGTATTGCAAGATGCTAAGGAAGGAGGAGGGTTGGGCTTACCAAATTTGAAATTGTATTTTGATGCTTGTTATTTTGTTTGGCAAAAAGAATGGATGACTCTCCAAAATAAGAGGTTACTTGAACTCGAGAGCCATGAATTAAGATTTGGATGGCATGGCTACTTATAGTTTGATAAGGTTAAAGCAAATATTGGTTTTAATAATCACTTTCTTAGACACGCAATCCTAAGAGTTTGGAATAAATATAAGTAAGATTCTCTGCAAACATGCCTTTTTGGGTGTCTCCCCTTAGGAAGTTTTTTTTAAAAAAAGAAATGGTGGTGTGGCCCAACTGGTAGACTTATGGTCAAATAATATCTTTCAATTATCCTCAAGTATACAGAGCAGTTGGAATCAGAGGGAGTCAAGCTACTCTCCAAAGCGCCTGAAGGCAGGACAAGAAGCAACGGATGGAAACTAATCAAGGAGAGAAGCAACCTAGAACTAAGGAGAAACTTCCTGACAGTTAGAACAATTAACCAGTGGAACAACCTGCCTCCAGAAGCGGTGAATGCTCCAACACTGGACGTTTTTAAGAAGAGACTGGACAGCCATTTGTCCTAAATGGGATAGGGTTTCCAGCCTGAGCAGGGGGTTGGACTAGATGACTTCCAAGGTCCCTTCCAACTTTTTATTATTATTATTATTATTATTAGAATATGTTTGCTATTGATTTACATATTTACAATTGAAAGAAAGGGTTAAATTAGACAAGAGATATGGATTTGATTTTGCAAAAAATGAATTGGAAATCCTATTATTAGTGAAAAATATATTATTACTAAGGTTTATAAATTGTTATTGAAATTGAACTTGGAGAATGAGTAAGTAAAGCATTGTATGATTCAGCAGGCAAACAAGAAAACCAAGAAAAAACCCCAGCATGGTTGCACCAAGAAATCTTAAGAAGAAGAAGAAGAAGAAGAAGAAGAAGAAGAAGAAGAAGAAGAAGAAGAAGAAGAAGAAGAAGAAGAAGAAGAAGAAGAAGAAGAAGAAGACAGAAGAAGAAGAAGAAGAAGAAGAAGAAGAAGAAGAAGAAGAAGAAGAAGAAGAAGAAGAAGAAGAAGAAGAAGAAGAAGAAGAAGAAGAGGAGGAAGTAGTAGTAGTAGTAGTTGTCGGAAGGAACCTTGGAGGTCATCAAGTCCAACCCCCTGCTCAGGCAGGTAACCCTATACCATTTCAGACAAATGGCTGTCCAGTCTCTTCTTAAAAACATTTCGCTTCTCATCCAAGAAGCTTCTTCAGCTCTGACTGGATGGTGGGCGGGCAATGGAAAGATTTGTACTCCTGCAGACAGCTTTTCATTTGCATTCTTTTAGCAAGCTGTTAAAGCTACCTGGAGGCTTATCTGTGTCTTCAGGGTGACCTGAGTAATGCAAATGGCTGTGGAACCTTCTTGGAACTGTTGAAAGACTGAAGAGAGATGACGTTGGATCCTTCCCCCTCTGTTGAGAGAGGGCTGTTCAATTTTGACATAGATGGCCTCTTTGACCCCTCTTTCAAACCAGCGGTCCTCTCTGTCCAAAATGTGGACTTTGGTCTCTTTGAAAGAATGGACTTTGTCTGTTAAATGCAGATGTACTGCTGACTCTGGTCCTAATGGGTTTGTTCTCCTATGTTGTGCTATACATTTATGAAGTTGTTGTTTCATTTCCTCAATGTACAGATCTGCAGATGGCTCCTGCATTGTACTGCATGTACCCCGTTGCTCAGTTTGTGTCTGGGTGTTTTATCCTTGGGGTGGACAAGCTTTTGCCTTAGAAGTGTGCATGTTTGTTGTGTTGGCAAAAGATCCTCCTGAGCTTTTCCAATATTTCTGCAATGTATGGAATGACTACATTGCTTCGTTTATTGTTTTCTTCATCTGTTATGGAGGGACTCCTGCTAGGTCTTTTTTGAGATTTGGATGAAGGCCCACTTGGGATAACCATACATTCTTTGTCAGAATCCAGTTATATTTCCTTTCTATCTATCTTCTCTGATATAAAACCAATTCTTACCCTCTTCTGGATCCTGCCATACTCCTAAGGGGGAGGGGGGATATGCATGAGGGTTTTATTACTTTCACTTCCTCTATTCACTACAAAGTAACCTTTTGTTTATTCGCTTTCGGGTCTGCTAACCATCACAATGTAACCATTGGCCTTTTATCCTATGCCCCTCTGAACTCCTCCTCCTTACCGGCCAGCTAGGAAAAGTGGGGGTGAAAAGATACAGCCTCCGGAATCTGGTTTATTTATCCGTCATCAAAATAAGGTGTGAGGAGCTATTGAACGATCGTGCACAACGGAGCTGAATTGATGTTCTCTTTCCTGGATTTAACACCTAGAAATCTGCCGGTCTGAATTGCCCAGAAGAACTGCGGGGTGCGGGTTGCTTAGGGACACATTAAAACATTGATTTGTAAGGAAATCCCTCAGATCCTGTCTATCATGCCTGATATCAATTTCTCTTAATAAAAGTTCCTGTTGGAAGAGACCGTTTCCAAGAGTTCTGCTTTCTTAAGATGTGGATTGAAGTGGTTCCTTACAGGCTTCCTTGATGTGTTTTATTTCTTTTTCTTTTCCTTCTTTGTTGACAGGCAGGTCTTCAACTCTGTGGTGAAGGATTCTGATAACACATCAAGGAAGCCCTCAGATCTGACCTCATCTATCTCCTGTCTACACCGCAGTCCGTTTAACAGTCCCAAGAAGGCTCCACACCCATTTGCACTGCTCAAGTCACCCTGAAGGCACACATAAGCCTCTTTAACAACTTGCTAAAAGAATGCAAATGAACAACTGTCTGCAAGGAATATAAAACTTTCCATTGCCCACCATCCAGTCAGAGCTGAAGAAGCTTCTTGGATGAGAAGCGAAATGTCTTCAAAGAAAAACAAGAAAGTCCAGTTGCCTCCTGAAAAAGCACCTAAGGGTCAGAATGAAGTAAGACTTGCAACAAATGTTGAAAACAATTTAAGAAAAGCTTCTTTCAATACATAAAAAAACAAGAAAAAAAAGTCAAAGAAATAACCGGTCCATTAATAGGAGATGATGGCAAGAAAGTAATGGGCAGCAGAAAGAAGGCAGAATTGCTTTATTCATTGTTTGCATCTGTCTTCACTTAAAAAAGAAAATATAACCAACTTATACAACCAAGACCTAGATCTGTCAGACTATATAACAGTGTTTCTCAACCTTGACAATTTTAAGGCATGTGGACTTCAACTCCCAGAATTCCACAGCCAGCAAGGTTGAGAAACACTGCTATATAAGGATATAAGGAACGGTTGCTGGAATTGGGTATGTCTAGTTTAATGAAGAGAAGGACCAGGGGGGACATGATAGCAGTGTTTCAATATCTCAGGGGCTGCCACAAAGAAGAGGGAGTCAAGCTATTCTCCAAAGCACCCGAAGGCAGGACAAGAAGCAACGGATGGAAACTAATCAAGGAGAGAAGCAACCTAGAACTAAGGAGAAACTTCCTGACAGTTAGAACAATTAACCAGTGGAACAACCTGCCACCAGAAGCGGTGAATGCTCCAACACTGGAGGTTTTTAAGAAGAGACTGGACAGCCATTTGTCCGAAATGGTATAGGGTTTCCTGCCTGAGCAGGGGGTTGGACTAGATGACCTCCAAGGTCCCTTCCAACTTTATTATGATGATTATGATTATGATTATTATTATTTTATTATTATTATTATCATCATCATCATCAAAAACAAAATCGTAAAAGACAGGCTAGGAATGCAAATTAAAATAAGCAAAAATAAGGGAAGGGAACCCTTGTCAGTTCTAGACAGATTCAAATGTCCGGGCCCTGACGGATTACATCCCATGGGATTGAAGGAACTGGCAGACATGATCTGAGAAACTTTGAACCACTTCTTTCAGAATTTTTGGAGCACTGGGAAACTAATGGAGAACTGGAAAACAGCTGTTTTAGATGTTCAAAAAAAAAAAAGGGAAAAAAAGACACTCTGCTAGAGCAGGAGTAGGCAACCTCGGCTCTTTTATGACTGGTGGACTTCAATTCCCAGAATTCCTGAGACAGCCATGCTGAGGGGAAAGGGAGAGGTTTCCAAGCTGAGCCAGGCTGGCTCAGGAATTCTGG